GGCGTGGGAGTTGCTATCATATTTCACCTTGGACCCAGCCCCAGTTATGGCTGGACACTGGTGCCGCCTGGAAGACAGCTCGCTGCCTAGAGCCCTTGGAGCCAAGGTCAGCCAGTTTGCGGAGGGGCTGCCATGTCGAACGAAAGGCCCCGGCTCTGTTGCCCATCACTGGTAGGGTCTCTCTGGGATAGAAACAGCTGATGTCAGAGCCCTGACGGTGCGGTGCGGCGGGGCAGTCTTGCAGATGGTCTGGTCATTGCCAGGAGAGAGGGGATGAGCCCCTGGAGGACTTGGGCCTTGACTGTGTTAAGAAGTCCGGATTCCCTCCTTACACTGTTCCCGGTTTCCTGTGTGTATGTGTGTTAAGGCACATCACTCCTTCAGTAGAATGGTTTTCTGTCCCTCAGCTGGGTTCTGGGGAAGGGTTGGGGTACATATGGAATGCTTTGGTGGGGACCAGAAGCCATAGAGTCACAGAGATAGCGTCTCCGGAATCTCTGCAGCGTTTCTGTGCCTGCACAGGTGGGAAGCTCACTCCCCTCTCCTGCAGGTTTGCAGAGCCGTTTGTCTGCTGGATTGACCTCCAGCATCACTGTAATAATCCCTGAGGCGTGTCTAACACACTGAAGTTTATAAGGCATTTCACTGCATTTTTCCCGTTTGACCCGTACAGTTGGCAGAGAATTGATGAAAATCTCATTTGACCGAGATTTCTAAACTTGAGATAATACAGTGCCGGCCACTGTATAGATCACTTGATGCTTTCACACCCACCTTTAATCATCACAGTGTTCTTGGAAAGTCAACGTTGCTGTTCCCATTTCATAGATAAACTTACTTAACCAAGGCTCAGTGTCTTATATGAGCTTACGTAGCCAGAGAGAAGCAGAGCCAGGATTCAAACGTGGTTCATTTGACTCCACCAGAGCCTTTGTTTTTAAACACTCCCATCTCCCCTCCGCCCCCTGCCTTTTTAAGTCTTCTTTACTTCCTCCTTCCTTTTCTTTCTCATAGAGCACCTTGCCATTCCCATATGTCCAGCTGCTGTCCCAGATCCAGGGCCAACAGGCCCTGTCCAGCAGGCTGCAAGAGGGAGGGCGGTAACTTCAGGCAGGCTCTTGCCTCCTGTTGCTTCCAGACTTTTTCTTAGAGGCTGGTAAATGAAGAGGGTGTGATGCCTTCCCAAAGCATGAACGGTGACAGTTGAAACACCGTTCTTTCCCGTGAATCCTGGGAGAAGTAGTAGCTGGGGAGGCTGCCCACCTGTCCCCCTAAACACCTTGGAGGGGAAGAGGAGGTGGTCAGATGACAGTGAATGAAGCACGACATGTTCCACCTGCTGAGGAGCAGAGTCCACGAGCAAAGGGCTTCTCGTCCGGTCCAAGCTAGCCGAGAGCGCACGCAAAGCCATATTGTGCCCAGGCCCTTTCCCTCCCCTGCAGCCGTGTAGCTCCTCACCACATCCTGAGCAGAGTAGAGGAGGCTTAGTGCTATTTGACTGACAACCCCACTGTTCCCTCTGACTCCTAGGGACCTCCTGCCCGCTCCAGTCTGTCTGGATACCGGGAGACAAAGTATAGACAGAGCCCCAAGGAATCATGTTTACTAATGATTCAGCTGTTGGAACAAATGTCAAAATTAGACTTGCCATTTCCCGGCCCGGATATTCCTCCCCTGGCTTGTTCCTAGAATCTGCCTGTAAGTGGAATTCTTGTAAATTAGATTATTCAGAGGACCTTGACATTTAAAGAAATCATCTTGTAAGGCTTTTGGTAGAGCAGAAAAATTACATTGTTGGTAATGGCCTTCAGTGTTACGTTTTGAATTGTTGGATTTTTTTTTTTTTTTTTTAAGATTTTATTTATTGGGGCGCCTGGGTGGCTCGGTGGGTTAAAGCCTCTGCCTTCGGCTCAGGTTGTGATCTCGAAGTCCTGGGATCGAGCGCTGCATCGGGCTCTCTGCTCAGCGGGGAGCCTGCTTCCCCCTCTCTCTCTGTCTACTTGTAATCTCCGCCAAATAAATACATAAAATCTTTTTTTTTTTAAGATTTTATTTATTTGAGAGAGAGAGAATAAGAGAGAGAGAGCATGAGAAGGGGAAGGGTCAGAGGGAGAAGCAGACTCCCTGCTGAGCAGGCAGACCAATGTGGGACTCGATCCCGGGATTCCAGGATCATGACCTGAGCCGAAGGCAGTCGCTTAACCAACTGAACCACCCAGGCGCCCCAATAAATAAAATCTTTAAAAAAAAAAAAAAAGATTTTATTTATTTGACAGAGATCACAAGCAGGCAGAGAGTCTGGCAGAGAGAGAGGGGGAAGCAGGCTCCCCGCTGAGCAGAGAGCCCGATGCGGGGCTCAATCCCAGGACTCCGTGATCACGACCTGAGCTGAAGGCAGAGGCTTTAACCCACTGAGCCACCCAGGTGCCCCATGGTTGGATTTTTGTAGGCTTTTCTCAAAAGTGGAAAATGTAACCACACAAAGCTCATTCTTTGGTTCATTTGGCAACCAATGACCAATCCCCCACCTCGTGTCCGGTGCTGGGCTAGTCGGGAATGAGGTCACGTCCCTGTCCCCAGGAAGTTTACCTCCTTGGGAACGAAGGCAGACAGGCAGCATATGGCCCGGGGAGGGCCTCACATTCACTCTGTTCATTTCATGGAGAGTGAACTTTTTGTTGAAACCTACATGAACTGCAAGAGAAATACAGCGGTGCACCTCAGGGTCTTGCCGCTGTTCTCCAAGGGGTTCCCAGGCCAGTGGGGACATAGAGAAGAGGTCAGAGCCAGCAGTTTGCCGAGACTGGTGGGCAGTGATGGGGACAGGTGAGTGTTGCCGAGCTCGAGTCTGAGTGCCGAGTGGAAGAGCTGCCTTTGATGCCGTCCTTCCTGGGTGATGGTGGAGAGGCTGTGGCGTGGTGGCTGTGGGGCCTGTCAGCGGGAGTGGGCAGCCCCCAGACTGAGCTCCGTGGTGACATTCAGGCCTGTGGCCCTCTTTCCTGTCAGCTCACAGGGAGCTACAGTGATGTCTACGCTACTGCAGCTGGGATTCCTGGGCACGGGCAGGTTTCTGTGTCCTTTTGCTTTACTGTGTGACTCCGAGTGGGAGTGAACGTTCATTCTCGTTGAGCAGTGTGCCCCTTTCTCTTTTCGGGGTCGGGGGGATAGCCTCAGGTGCTAGGACACTGGTGTGGGACATGGTGGTGAGCCAGGGTGAGGGGATGCTGTATTTAGAACCAGCCCCCGCCGCCGCCCCCGTTACCTGCCTGTTACCCCAAAGGGCCCTTTGATTGACATAGTAGTTGGAAGTCACCTTCACTGTGGTCCCAGACCCTTGTTCCTGGACGCGGAAGCTGGAGCATCAGCCCGGGAGCTGGGGGATTGGGGGACTCTCTCCACACAATAGAAGGGCTCTAGAGGGCGGAAGCAATGACAGTCACAGATCTAAGAACTGGACCTGCTAGGATATGGAGATGCTGTCGCTTCTCTTCTGGTTCCTCTGAGGGCCAGTGTGGCCTTGCGGGTGAGCAGTGTCCAAATCCAGGAAGGAGCCAGGGAATGGGGAGGAGGAGGGCCCTCCCAGCCGGCTAGCTGGGTTCCCTGGAAAGGACTGACCGTGGCGGAAGCAGGATTGCATCAGTGAGGAGCATCCTGAGTTGTTGGGCTGAGGTGGGCCTGCTGCTTCTGGAAGGTTCCTTGTCTTCTGGGACAAGTTCAGAGTACATTTGTGCATGGGGGCTAGTGACAAACGTGGCTAATGAGAATTCTTCATCTCTTCTCCTTCTCTCCTTATAGTCAGTCTCTAAATTATGTATCAAGGGCTATGTGCTTGACCTCAAGGCACGTTCCTGTTTCCTGTCTGATGACTTCTCTTGAAGAAGTCTTTAAGGCATTCCTCCATCTTGGGGGTCTCTCACGTGTTTTTGAGCCCGATCCCAGGGTCCCACATGAAGCTTTCTGTGTCACCCTGTGTTCTGGGAGTCAGTGGCTTAACTAGCACCCAGTGGAGTGGTATAAAGGTGGAAGTGAAACCCCGGGAGCACAGTCGTGGACAGTGTTCCTGGGGGGTTAGGGGACTTCACCCTGCGCTGAGGGAGGCTTGGTGCTGGGGACACAGTGGCAAAAAGGCAAGGTCGCGCCTCTAGAGCTTCCATACCGTGGAGGCTGGACAGTAAATGGTGTAATTTCAGACAGAAATACACATTCTGAAGGCAGGAAAGCGTGGGGATTAGATCTGGGTGTGGGAGGAAGCCCCCTTAGCTGGGCTGGTCAGGAAGGGCCTCTGAGGATATGAGCCCTAAGCTGAGAGCCTGTGATGGGAGTGTGCGCCTGTCACTGTCTCCCCACAACGCCGCCGCTTCTTGTCCCAAATGCCACATGGCTCCTGCCGGTCCCACTCTGTTCCCACTCTGCCCGGTGCTCCCACCGCCACTTAGATCCCGGCACACCTTGGGCCCTTCGGAAACTCTCAGCTGATTGGTTTTCCATTACCCACAAGCCAAACCCCCGGCCCCCAGCCTGTCAATGGGGCCTCCCGTGATCCAGGCCCAGGCTGCCTGTCTAAGCTCATCTCCCATAAATACCCTCTTCCTCTGTCTGCATTCCAGCCAGCCCAGGCCATCATCAGTAGCGCCTTCTGGGTGGCACACATGCCCTGCTCCTCTGATCCTGTTCGTGCCGGCACCCCCGCCCCCCACCACCAACAGCATTTTTTATCTTTCGGGGTCTGCCTCAGGTAGCCTTCTCTCAGCTGCTGCCCTGTCTGCCGTTCCGAAGAGAGTGCTCCGTTCTTGGAGTTTCCACAGTACTTGGGGCTCAGTGGGCGTCCTCACCCTTTCTGCCTTGTGTTTTAGTTGGCTCCACTCGTTTCTGGCTCCCGCTGGACTGGAAGCTCACTGAGGGTTGGATGGTATCTCAGCAAAGCCTCGGGGCAACTAGGACAGCTCCTGGGGTCGATGGTGCTGTGGGGCCGGTGCCTCAGGGCACAGATGCAGCCGGGCTGGCTGGGTGTGCAGCTGCCAGGCCCTCCCCCTCCCCCAGGCCCTGGCTTCTGCGTTGTCGCTGCCCCTCCACCTGTCATGGTGACACCGTCTTGTGTCTGCCTTCACTGTGCCCCAGAGCCCCCACAGCTGCCGACGGTCTTGCAGAAACACACGTCTCTTGTCACTTCCTGCTAACCCTAGAGCAGTTCCAGCTCACTGCTCTTTAGCGGGGAGTCTAATCCCGAATGTGTCCCCTTCCCCCACCCCGCCTTCCACGCCTGTTGGAGGGAGCGGGCGTGCCCTGTTGGCTTAGTGAACTCTTCCTCGTCCTTCATTTCAGCTGATGGGCGACCTCCTCGGGGATGCCTTCCTTGACTCCGCAGGGGAGCGCTTCCTCTGGGCTGGGCTGTGCTGGCATCTTGTACTTGTCTGCGGCCCCGAATGGTTGCCAGTGTGTGTGTGGAGCTGTCTGCCTGCCTCCTGGCACAGTGCCTGGTACCCAGTCCCGGCACGTTGCTAACCAAGGACCAGACCCCACAGCGAGCTCCATTCTGTGCTCACGAGTGAGTGGGAGGCGAGTGGGCTCCCCAGGCCCCTCCCAGCATCAGCCGGAGCATCCGCCATAGGAGCCTGGGGTTTCCTGCTCCGTTTCCTCAAGTGTCAACTGGGGGTTCTCTATATTTTAGAGTTAGAAGCCTTCAGGTCAGGTGTCGTGTCCAATAAGGAAAGGACTAGAAGCCCAGGACTCTGGGTCCCCTCCTCTGATACAAAGGTCACTTTGCAGAATGACTTGACTACGAAGGACAGGAGGCCCCGTCATCCAAGGGACAGAAGCTGTTTTGGGGACACCGGACATTTCTCTGCATCAGGCAGGGTTGTATGACCTTGTGAAGCATGGGGTGAGACCGGCGCCCTCGACCTGGCTGATTTGCTCATTTTCATTGTTCAGCTGCTGCTGTTTGGCGCCTGAGCCGCCTTGGCTGGTGGCAGCATGACAAGTGAAGTGATAGAAGACGAGAAACAGTTCTATTCGAAGGCCAAGACGTACTGGAAGGAAGTCCCGCCCACCGTGGACGGCATGCTCGGGGGGTACGGCCACATCTCCAGCATCGACATCAGCAGCTCCCGGAAGTTCCTGCAGAGGTTTTTGAGGGTAGGCAGGTCTGGCGCGCCGTCCAGCAGCAGAGGATGTGGCCCTGGTGGCCCAGCCTGGTCTGCACAGGGCGCCACCTTTTACACGAGCCATCGCGGGGCCTTTGGTTCTTGGTTGGTGTCAGCCCCCCAGGCCTCGAGGGTGGGGTGGGGTGGCGTGCGGACGGGGGCCTCTGTCTCAGGCTTGCCACGTGGGGGAGCTGGCTGCTGTGCCGGGTCTCCCGGGACCAGAACGGAGGCTTCCTCTAACTGTTCAGATTTGTCAGGGGTGACTCCTTCACTGTCTTGCCATGTTTGCGGGCTGTTGGGCTGTGGGCGCCGGCTCTTCTGCTGAGGGCAGGCTCCTAGTTCCTCCCCTGCTCTGTCCCCCTGTGCCAGGCTGGCGTGTAGCATCAGAGGCTGGTGCTTGCCCCTCACACTATGGGGTGTCTCCCCACCCACTGTCTGCTGCCTTCCCAGATCAGTGAAAATCACCACTGCCTCTGTTTTTTTCACTGCTTCAATTCTGTTCATCCTCTGGTTTTAGTGGGGCGTCGTGAGAGATCAGTGCACCTGTTCGTTAGTCCCCTTTAAGTGGCTGTCAGCTTGCATTTCAGGAATGTGTGGCCCAGGACGGGAATGTCTGTGGTCCTACCCATGGGCGACTTCCGTGCCAGCCCCCGGCCTATGCCCACTGCTGACTTGAGTAACTGGGAGCTTGGGAGGAACATCCCCCTTCTCGGGCTTTCTGAGCCTTCCCTACTGAGCCTCTGCCTTCCCTGCTTCTCAGGAAGGCCCAAACAAGACGGGGACCTCCTGCGCCCTAGACTGCGGAGCCGGCATAGGTAGGATCACCAAGAGGCTGCTGCTGCCGCTCTTCAGAGTGGTGGACATGGTGGACGTGACGGAAGACTTTCTGGTTAAAGCCAGGACGTACCTGGGAGAGGAGGGCAAGAGGGTGAGGAACTACTTCTGCTGTGGCCTCCAGGACTTCAGCCCCGAGCCCAGCTCCTACGATGTCATCTGGATCCAGTGGGTGATAGGTGAGCTTTCCGCGGCCCTCTACGCCTTCCACAGACCTCCCGCACGCCCCCCCGCTGCAGAGGCAGGTTCCGGGGCCGTGGAGGCTGCCGGCCAGCGCTCCTGCGGCACACGGGACCCTGGGGTTTCTCCAAATCCTCCTTGGGCTCGCCTTCCGGGCTCTGTCAGTACCGTTACGACCCACTCAGGTGCAGTTTTTTGTTGAAAAAATGTAAACAACCAATAACTGCATTCAGAGAACGTGGACATGAGTTTTAAAAGTGTTTTTTAATAAGAGGAGAAAGTGAAGCCTTGGCCGTCCCCACTGTTCACAGCGAGGGAGCCACGCCTTGCCGCCCCATCCTGCACCTGCTCTGCCCTGCAGCACACGCAGGGTGCTCTTCCCTGGCCGCTGACCTGGCGGGCGGGCCACCGTACCCGCAGTTGGCCGCCCACTCCACAGCAGACACCGTAGCCCTGCTGGGTCTGGCCCTGTCCTTTGTGGTCCCTCAGAGCCGGTCTGCAGTTCTAATTAGGGAAGGAACGGGTTGGTAAGAACCCCTAATCCAGGCCTCAGGGCAGGGGGATGGCTGGAGCGTAGGTGTCAGGCAGGGCCCAGAAGTCACCCAGACAGGGTGCGGTCCCAGCTTGTGCTCTGTGACAGCCCTTGGGTGAGTGACTTCTGAGCTGGCTTCCTCGTACACAGAACGGGACTTGGTAAGCACCTCTGGGCTGCCCAGCGCTGGGGAGGCCCCATGTGTTTAGACAGAGCTTGGTAAGTCTGAGCGGAGATCGAGAGGCGCGGCCAGTGGAGTGTGCGTGCTTGGCTCCACTCCCTCCTCGTGGCCCCGCCTCTGCTGTCCCCAGGCCACCTGACTGACCGGCACCTGGCCGAGTTCCTGCGGCGTTGCAAGCGGAGCCTGCGCCCCAACGGCATCATCGTCATCAAAGACAACATGGCGCAGGAGGGCGTGATCCTGGATGACGTGGACAGCAGCGTGTGCCGGGACCTCGAGGTGGTCCACAGGATCGTCCGCAGCGCGGGCCTCAGCCTCCTAGCCCAGGAGCGCCAGGAGAACCTCCCTGATGAGATCTACCACGTCTACAGCTTGGCCCTGAGATGAGCAGGGCCCGGCAGAAGAAAAGGACCAGTGCGGGGTGGGGGGCTGGCAGCCGGGCGGGACCCAGAGGCTCCCCAGCGATGGCCTGGGCGTGTGGACCGAGACCGCCAAATACACCCGTTTGCTGCCCACCGCCAGACTCTTTTTCAAAAGGCCTAATGGGACCCAGTGGGGAGGGGTGCCCCTGACCGGAGCACTGAGGCTACAGCCCGGCTCTGCTGCCGTGAGAGGCGGGGATCGGACAGTGCAGACCGTGGGACTCCAGGGTCCCTGGTGCTCCACGTGTGGGAATACAGCGATCCCCTCAGAAGTGGAGATTTTCTGGCTCTCCCTTTCCACCACCCAGCCTTCCAGCCACAGGCCTAGGTGCCTTAAGAGGAAGAGAACTCTCGGTTGTTGGGACTTGTTCCCCTCGGGGGGAGGCGAGGAGCCGGGCCATGGAGCCTGCAGCTGCTGGGGGCGACCCTGTGCTGAGGCCTATTTGGTGATGAGCCCTGGTGTCCCTGACATGATAGTCACCGTGGTCTCCAGCGAGGGAGTCTGCGGCTTCATTCTTGGCTGTGCCTTGCAGCTCCTCCTCGGTGAACATTTTCATCAAAAAATAAAAGAGTGACTCTTGTGCTGGGAAGGCCCTGGCCGGTCTGGACTGGTGCTCTTCTTTACTGGGGCTGCAGTGCGGGGCTATTTGGAAACTGTCCCCACTAGATGCTGCCGTCCCCTCATGCCTCTCAGCTCTTCTCGGTGGGAGCCTCAGTCCTAAGCTGGGGAAGGGCTGGGAGGGGGCCAAAATGTCACACAAGGACCTTGAAGGCCAAGAGCAGGACTTTACTGTATAACGTAACCTTTAGTTGCCTCAGCTCGCCTTCCCGGCATCCACACAATTCACAAGGACCACGAGACTGGGAACTGGCTTCATGAGGGTGTGGCGTGGGCCGCACAGTCAGCTTGCAGTATTAGTAGCTTTCAGCATCAGGTGAACCCCTCACGAGACATTTTGGAAAGGACTGTCCCTGGTCACACGGGATTGCTTTTCAGCAGAAGGCACGTCCCCTGAGATCCCAGGTTTGGCACAGACAGAGCTGCCGCTGGATTCCAGTCCCGTGCCTTGGGCCGGGCCATGGGTAACCTGGCCCCAGAGCGGCCAAAGGCGGCAGGGGCAGCTCAGCCTTCTCCCTAGCCCACCGAGAGCACTTCTCCAAGTGACCTAATAATCTAGCGTGGGGAGAGACGGGAGTGATGGGCCTCAGCGGGGTTGTGCCCCCACAGGCCCAGCACACGTCCTCCCGGCTTCAATGGGGCCCTATGCAAGACAGACCAGCTTCCTGCGGCTCTCAGAGGACCGAGAGAGCTACCCTGCGTGATGCTCCCTGCAGAAGAACAGGGTGTACACTTGTCCCAAGTCTAGACCCAGTCCCTTTTCCCAGCGTGGTTGAGACTTGGGGGTTCTGCCAAACAGAAGGGGAGTGGTCGCCCTGCAGAAACAGGGCCCCTTCCCACCGCAATGACTATGGCTGCTGGGCTCCACCTGGTTTTCCTGGTACACAGTAAGGATCAAGTTTCATCTCCCAACCTCTACCTTCCGACGGAAGGCCAGAAGGTTCTCCCCTAAGGCTGCCGCAGGTGCCGAAATCCGCCAGTAGGCTGAGCTGCGCAGACCCTGCTCCCTCGATCTGGGGGTGGTCAGATGTCCTCGTCAATGGTACCGCTGTGCTCACTAAGGAGGTACCACTTCAGCCTGTCCGGCAGAGGCAGGGCTTTGACCTTCACATCCACGGGCCAGGGCTGAAGATAGAGCCGGATGTAGACGCGACACAGGTGCTTGAGGGACGGAGGGTAGCTCTCCAGCTGCCTCAAGGAGAAGTGAAGGGCCTGGATCTTTTCTGCCAGGCTGCCCACGGGATGGATATCGAAGTTTTCAGGCAGCTGAAGTTTCTGGGAATTAGTCACCATGAGATCCAGGACGGTCTCGGCTTTGCGCAGGAGGTCCACGTGGCTGTCGTCTTCGGCACAGCCTGGGTGGGAGCAGAGCCTCTCAAAGATGATGTGGAAGCCGGACCAGCAGGACGCCCCGTGCAGTGAGCAGTTATAGGCAGCTCCGGACTCCAGCAAGAAGCGCAGGAGCGGGAAGTGCAGTTTGAAGCCCTTGAGGCAGATGTGTGTGAGGGACTCGTGGGCCGGGCACTCGCTGGGGTCGGCCCCGTGCGCTAGCAGCAGCTGCGTGACTTGGAAGCAGAAGCGGCTGATCATCTGGGCCTCCTCTTTGTCCCCTCCCACGGTCTCCCCAAGCAGGAAGATGATGCAGGTGAACACCGTGTCCCCATCTTTGGTGGTGGCCTTGACATCTGCCCCTGCGAGAGCCAGTCAGGAAAAGAGAAGATGGCAGCAGGTCTTAAACTGCTGCAAAGGAAGGCCACCTGTGTAATGGGGGGAGGGGAGGGAGAAGCCTGGGAGCAGCCCACAGGCGAGCCTCACCTCCTTCCAGCAGGAGCCGGATGTTCTCAGTGTTGTAGATCTGCACGCCGTCGCTGCTGGCCAAGGCGTGGAGCAGAGCGGTCTTTCCTACAGAAGGAAGAGGAGGAGGGGGAGTGGGGACCAGGAAGCCGAGGTCAGGACAACCCCAGAGGTGCAGAGGAAGCCACTTAGGATGAGAAAGTGAACTTCATTTTTTTGTCGTCGTCAAGGATTTTATTTTTAAGCCCTCTCTACACCCAACGTGGGGCTTGAACTTGTAACTCTGAGATCAAGAGTTGTGTGTTCTACCGACTGAGCCAGCCAGGTGCCCCCTGAAAGAACTTTAAAAATGATCGACTTTTCAGCCGAGGCTGAAGGTGATTGGCGGCTGGTCATTCTTTCTAACCACAGAAAACCAGGAGCAGAATGGGCAGAAGAGGTGGGATTTTTCAAGACACTCAGACGCTACCTGAGATCTGGGCTGAGTCTTTGCCAAGAAGTGGCTCACCCTCCCAGAAATCTGGCCACATGCACACCCTCCTTCCCCCTACAGACAGACCTCAGGGGGCTGGCGTGGGGCCAACGGCTGCATCACTTCCCGAAAGCCTCTGCAGGTCAGCAAAAGGCACCTATGGGCCTGGCTGCGCTGTGTCATCAGGCCTAGTCACCGTCCTGGGGGGCTCTGGCTCTCCCTCCCGAGGCAGCCTGCTTTCCCGGGGGAGGCACCCACCATGCTTGTCAGCCGCATTGACATCTGCTCCGAGGTCCAGGAGGCGCCGCAGGCAGGGCAGGCGCTCGGGCTCCTCACTGGCCAGGTCCAAGGGGCTGCTCTCGTGGATCTGAGCCAAGAAAGCACAGCACAGTAGGCCTGGGGACCTGGGGGCTCGGGAGGCCGCTCACGGCCACCCCACCACATCCCTGCTTCTGAGTGGGCCAGACCCGGCTCTTACCCGGTCCCTCCGGTTAATGTCAGCCCCGTGGCGCACCAGCAGCTCCACCATGTCCGGCTGGTTTCGCAGGACGGCTATATGCAGGGCCGTGTAGTACGTGACAGGGTCTGAATTACAGACATGGCTCGTGTCAGTCCTGCCCAGCACAGGGGACCCAGGCTTCTGGCACCATGAGGGGTCAGGACAGAGCCATTCCCACCAGGCACAGGCACTGGAGTCAGACATGGGGCAGGGTCCCGGGGGACAGGCAGCCCCTCTGTCTGGACTTGAGTCTCTTCTGTAAAACAGAACCATAAGACTGGGTGCCTCTGCTCAGGCTGCTGGGAGAGGGACCCCAACTGACGGCTCCTGAAGCCGGGCAGTAACAGCCACGTTCTCAAAGCCAGTCTCCAAATGACAGACTTCAGAACAGCCCCGCCCCTCACCTCCTCTGCCCTCCAAGAGCCTAGTGGCCTCTGAGCCAGTCCTCACATGGGAGCCGAGGCAGGCCTGGCCACATCCCGTGTCAGCTCAAGGACCCGCACTGGTCACAAGTCAGCCCTGCCCATCTCCCGGCTGACCCTGCCCTCCCCGGTGAGAAGGCCAGAGAGGAAAGGAGAACGGCTCCATCTCCATCCCCTGGCACCTCCAGCCTCGAAGCCGACCGCGCCCTGCCACGACTTACACCCAGCGCTGCTTCTGTGCTGTCCCCTCTCCCTGTGGCATGGGCAAAAACGCGAGATGGCTCAGAATAAGTGGCAGAAAATTGCTCTCCCCGAGCTCTGGGCACAGTGCCAGCAGCCGCATTTTCACGTTCACAGAAGCAGGGGTTTAGCTGGGAAAGTTTGCTGATCAATCACATGGTGGAGGCAGCGACCAATTTTCTCTCGGACCAGCAGGGTCAGAGCCCCTCGAAAGCCCACAGGGGGATGGGGTTCCTCAGTCACCACCCACGGAGGAAATAAGGGAAGCGGCTCCCAAGAGAACAAGAAAGGCAGAGCCACACTTTAAGCCACGTGTCCCCCCGTAGCCCCTCTGGGCTCCAACTGACCTTCGAAGTTGAGGCTGGCCCCGCTGCGCAGGAGAACGGCGGCCGCCCGGGTCAGCCCCAGCTCCGCCATCCTCAGCAGGGCACTGCTCACGCCTTCCTGGTAAAATGGAGAGTGGGCCTTTCTCTCCAGCAGCTCAGTGAGAACAAGGATTCGGCTCTCCTCGCTGGCAACATAACCGGGCCTGGGGCAGCAGAGGGGTGGATCGGTTGGTGGGGGGTAGCGGGGGCAGCTGTGGGACCAGCTAGCCTGGGCACCCTGTGGGTGGGTGGTCTCCTGCTGTCATCACCCCCCTCCCAAGGTAGGGCCCTGGTTCTGTGGGGCAGAAAGTCTCTGGAAAAGGCCTGTGGTTGCAAGAGAGCAAGCTGCATCTTTTAACTCAAGCTGACTCCTCGGGTTGCTAAGAAAGAACTGGGGCTGTCTCTAGCCTCCTCCCAAGTTGCCCGGACAATCTGGCCCCTAGCTCGGGCACAAAGCCTCACACAGCTGTGCTGCTGGGCCTGAAGGGAACCGTTGCAGCCCAGAGCAGGAAGCGGACACTGACACCCCCTCGCCTGACAATGAGCATCCCGAGGGCAGCCAGACCGGACCAGGCAACCCCCAGGCCCTCCTGCCCCCACTCACGCTCAGAGACGCTTAACCTCCCGGTCCCCAGAAGGCTGAGCGCACACATGGCCCTTCACGCCCCAGCCCCCACCCCACCTGCCCGCCAGCAGTGACCTCCAAAACTTCTGTGGCTTTCCCCTAAAGCTCAGGCCCACGGACAGCTCCGTGAACCTGGTCGCAGCTCCTTCAAAGGCCGCCACCTCCTCCTCTGGAGGAGGCTTCCCTTCCTCACCAATGCTTCCCACTGCCCTTAGCCTCACCCGTCTGCAACCCTTCAATTACCGGGATCAAGGTGCCATCCTTACCGCTTGGGCAGGATTCCATCTCTTTCCCCAGCCCGGGAGAATGCCCAGGGCACCATGGATACAAAGCAAAAATTCTGGAACTACAAAAGGGCATGTAGCACCCGCTTTCCTGCCCTGTTCTCAGCCCCAGAACAGCCTCCAAGTTAAGGAAACACCTTACGCTGTTTTCAGAACAGCCTCCAAGTGAACAGAGCAGTGATGAAGCAAGCCTGTTTCCACCGAAGTCCCTAGAGACACGCATAGTACCCACTGCCTCTGAAATTCCCACGGATCCCAGACACA